CTGTACTGCTGGGGTCCCCGGACATACAGGAATAAAGGGCAATGAGCTGGCGGATATCGCAGCGAAATCTGCTGTTGAAATGTCCGGCCGCCTCATCCCTTTTAAAGATATCCGTTGTGTCATAAAAGAGAAGATCCCGAAAGAAATGGCAGCAACTTTGGGACCTTCAACTTCATAACAAGTTGAGAAGGGTGAAAGCCTAAAATAGAGCATTGGGATACTACTAGCAAATCGCAGGGAGGAAGTTCTTTTGACTCGCCTTAGAATTGGTCACAGTAGAGAGTGACACATAACTACCTTCTGAAAGCTGAGAACGAGCCTATTTGTGCAACTTGTAATGTTTGTCTTTCAGTTTATCACATTTTAATTGAATGTTCATATTTTAATAATCTTCGTGAGAAGTATTTTAATAGCTGCGACCTGCCTCTCGACCGTTTAATCGGAAGAGAGAGGTCAATAATAATTTGTTTCACTACCTCAAGGAAACAGGTTTCTATTATTTAATTTGATTTTGTCCTGAGATTTTATGTTGGAATTTTAATTAATCAGATGTTTTAGGATTTTATATCTATACTGCATCTCTCATTATCAAAGTTATAATCAGCATTTTCATCCCATCATTTAAATATCTTTTTACTTGCCTCGATTTTAAAAGTGTTCTGTTGTCTTTATATTTTTTGTTCCTTTAGTTTGTAGTTTAAAAAAAAGAATCCTGTGTTTGGCGCATATGGCCTATTGAGCTTTGCGCCATAAAACTACTACTACTACTACTACTACTATAAGATATTTCACTTTTTTGTTTCTCATTTCATGATCGACATTCTCGACTAATTTTTTGATTTCTTCTTCTTGCATATCTTAAAATTCTTCGTCGCTAATTGTTTAGCAGTTTATACGATTATCCTGCTTCATTCTCAATCGATGGAAATCCTTTAGTCGACAACATCTGGCCAGAGTTAATGCCAGCAAGCATTCTCTTACTCCCATGCCTGAGTAATCATCTCTATGCAGTATATCATGCTAAACGGTTTACAAAATGCCATTAGTCAGTCATACTTTCCTTCATATAATTCTTTATTAGCAGAGATGTAAACACGTCTGACATTGTAGTCTTTTTTATGATTCATTGGTTGAATCAAGGAAAGGCTGCTTGATGGAAGAAATAAAACCTCTAGATTTGGATGCAATATTGTGAAAGCTTCCGCGTTGTGTCTTGGAGCATTATTGAGAATTAGGAGGAATTTAAAGCTCGGGATATTCTGTTCTAAGCAATATTTGACTACTTGTCTACTTTAATGAAAGAAGTTTCAAACCCTCCATTAATCCTCTAGGCGGCCAGGGCTTTCGTTAAGAAAGCACAAATTTCCCAAAACTACTATGAGAACAAATTATTTTTTTGATTTTAATGCAAAACCTCTCCTGGTATTTTATACCTGGAATTGTTTTCTTCGATATATTGCCTTACTTTCGTTGACATAATTTTAATATGCACGTACATATACGTTCTTACAGATATCACAATAATATTCTAGGCCGTATATATACGGCCATGCCGCTTCGGACTTTTGCAACGCAGCAGGAGCTCTGCAGCCATCCTCTGTAAATGAAATTCTCATGCTTAGACAAATTAAATACAGACAAATAATATAATGCTTATATGAGAAATCGCGTTCTGAAAGCTTGCTTTTGGTAAGGGTTTATTACTATATTTTCGCCTTCTGCTGGACCAACACTTGATAACCCGATTCTGTTCGTGTCTTGTTCTGTATTTAGTTTAATTTGAATTCAAGAAAATAGTTATAGTGAACCACTAAAAGAAATTTTGTTTAAAAAACTTACATGCAGGAGCTAAATTCTCAAATTTTAAAGAACGGTCCGCGGCATGTAACAACTTAAATTTCTTAAAAAATAAATTGAACTATAATTACATTCTAAACTAAGTTAAACTAAGTTAATTAAACTAAGTTAGATCCATTTGTTTTGAAAACCAGAGAGTTGATGCAAAGTTACTATATAACGCTAAGAACAATTAATTAGTAACTCTCAGATAACTGAAAGCCTATTAAATACAATGACTTATTTATTCTTAGGAAATCACATTTTCAACATTAAGTATCGAGAATTTTCGCATGGCACTAGATTTGAGGTAATTAACAAAACTCTAAAGTGTCTTTGAATTAAGAATAGACAGCTTTGCGCAAATATCATACAACTGTTACCTCATTTAGTTGCATACGAGGACACTACCATATTACATATATAACTGGTAGTTGGACTGGTAACTGAACATATATAACTGGTACCTTTCTAAGTAATTAGTGAAAGCTGCTTAGGGTTAAACATGAGATTTAAACCCCTTTGATCAATGCTTGATTTAAGATTCATTCAATTTTATAAATAATTCGAGAAATGGAGGTTTTTGTTTTCCACAATCAACAATGTAGAGGACAGGTGACAGGTGACGGAGGACGGGGACGCCTGGTGTTTAACATAGGTAAACAGGCGTGTGTCCCACGCCCTCCCCTATCTAGGAATAACAACTCCCTGGGGCCCCGTGAGGCTGCCTCGGGAGTTTATAATACAGATCTAAAGATCAATACATGGCCAAACAGGGCCTGAGGATTATTGTTTGACAATGGTTGCGTGACAATAACTTTGTGGGTGTGCATGGCTGTTGGAATAACACAGATACATAAAAATATACAAAACAAATACAAGAATAGATACATATACAGGCAAAAACAAACAAATTCTAACAGATACGAACATAAGGATGCATTGATATTAAGATAAATATGAAGAGAGACACACATATGTAAGATACAAGAGTAAAAAACAAGAGTAATAAATACTTATAAAGTCATATGTGTATTGCTGGTATCCTTGGGGTTGCAAATGTGCTGTGAGCACTTAAACACAGAGATGAAGCTATTAGTACCGGATGTCGAGTTATGGTGCCAGGAGTTAGTGTTAGAGTTCGCTGAAAAAGTACAGTCTGCACTATAGTTCAAATTTGCAAGAGTTCAGGCTACACTAAAGTTTAGTGTACACTGTGGTACTAATAGCACTAAATTTGGAGTTTGGCACAGTCACTAAGTTTTAATGCAATTGCTATAGGTTGGTACAGTCACTACAGCGCAGACACTATGTTAGGCACAGTAATTTCAGTACACAGTCACAATGTTTGCACAGTTACTATGACTGTGAACAAGTACGGTGTAGGTACTGATCTTCACTGATGTGTGCACTAGTGCTTAGGCATAGTCGGAGTTGGTGCATGATGTATACGTGCGGTGCAATTATTACGTGCAACCATTCATTGCAATAGGTTGGAAGGTGATGTAGGCATTCGAAGGCACTTTGGTGGTGGGGAGCTTTAGTTTAACAACTTGTGGGGGTGGCCCCTGAGTGAAAAGCTTTTGAAAAGGTTGGATAGTCGGTAGGGGAGACGAAAAGATGATCGTGTTTAATCTGGTCTATTGCGGTGAGCAGATATCTTGGCCCATTGCCCCGATTTGAGTGATAACTTTGCAGATTTTGGTTATGGCTGGCTTGTGAGTGATGATAAAGCGGTGGTACGCATCTCTGTTCATGGTTGGACATGGGAGGTGATGGTCTTTTGTCAGCTGGCAGGTGAAAAAATAGTGGTCTGGGTTGCCTGGGGCTCCACAGACGCATATATCTGTTAATGAGATGTTGTGCCTTTGGAAGTAGCTGGGGAATGGGCCGAATGTAGAGGACATAAAAAAAGAGAGTAATTGGGAAAGGAACTGGCACACTGGATAATTTAAACTTCAAGGACTCAGCCTTATCGTACATAGTAAGTGACACCAAACCTTAACTGAGTTGAGCATCCAAACTGAATGAGGGCGTTCAGCTGGACAGTAGTAGGCTGACTGTCAAGCCCTCACGTCACCGTATGAGCTTTAAAAACGGAAAGCCTATGAGAACATCTCTTGTCACTGCACGGCATAGTGCTCAATGTCATACATAGTGCACATAGCTTCGAGGATTAGAAGCGAGTAGCATGAGTGATGATACTCGATTCCAATTGCATCACGCTGATGATAGGCTAAAAATATGGCACCAGCCCCATAAGGTAAACGTTCCACAGTACCAAGTTAAAATTATACAATGTTTACGAGGGCTCAAAGCTGATTCTGGATATTTCCTCTTGTAATACGTTAGACATATAGCACATGTACCAAGCGCCCTCAGTTCATCTAACTTCTTTGATTTGCTAAGTGATCACCTAGTAGTGTTCACGCTGTTCTGCCATCCGGATTGAAATTTTGCCAGCAGGACTACTGTTTCTGTTACAGATCACGGTTGGCTACCATGGGTCGTGGGAGCTTTCCATTGAATTCTGTATGCTAAAATAAATTCCAGGAATTTCGGAATTAAGTTATACTAAGCATCTTTAGAATTGTCTGAGGAAAGGGTGGTAATACGTCATTCACCAGCAGCGTCGTTAACGGGCAACTAGAAATTCCAGAAAGTATCTGGCCGACCTTACTGTTGAATCTATGAATCGTCATGTGGTATTTTTTATCAAAGTCAAAGGAATATCAGCTGCATATATATCCTTAACTCAACGGCACTTCAATGCATCATGGTTTTAGTTTTCAACAAAGTTTGGCGACGTTTTTGTATTCTTTCGCCGGTAACTAGAAAGTTTTGTAAATTTTTTATAGCGCAAATGACTGACAATAGTAAGCTGAACAATGTTACCACACAACTAATAATTTGAGATGGTTTTTTCCATCTCCCCATAGGTGCTACTAGTATTGAGAACTAGTTATAGAGTGAGGGATTTGTTGTAGGAGGACAATAGCAGTTGTGAAACCGTTGTTTTCTAATTTCTACGACAAATTTTCAGAACGACGTAAATTGTTAAGTAAGTGACTCAGTATTTTCATCCTGTGAAGTCATTGAAGCGAACAGATGTGCTCTGCGAATTATGGCTATACAATCTGATAACCATAAATTTTGGAACTTACAGCGTCTTTGCTATCCTCTTTGAAATAATTTTGCACGTAATAGAAACTGAGTGCCTCTCCCAAATATCTAGATACAGGTGAGAGGCATTGTTCCCAGCGAGGTTTTTCTTGGATTTCTCCTATGGCCACTGCTCTGAACTCTTGTTTCAGACCCCTCCAGTCTTTTGACAGTTGATGCATAGATTTGTCAACTAGCGTCCACATCAAGAAATTAGCCACCACCCTGAAAGGAAAAAAGTTTTCTTTAATATTAAACTCACCGTAGTATTACTTTGTTTATTATGATTGATTTTCCATACATGTGCCGTATTTACTCGAGTATTTTCTTTTTTTCTCTTTTAAATTTATCGTCCGAAAATCGAGAGGAGAAAATTATGCAAGTCATTTCATTTTTGCTTCTCTGTTACTTGTAGCTCGCCCGTTCTTATTGTTGTTTCATGGCCACCGAAGCAGAGTAGTAACGTCGTTGAACAGTGGAAGTTCGACTTAGGATCGAATCCCGACGAACAGGCCGGTTGCATGTTTGGTTTTCCTCATGTTTAACGCGAATCGAGCTAGTTTCCCTTAAAAAGGTCTTCGTCACAGCCATCCTTTCCCATTGGTAAGCAGCCCCCGAGTTTCTTGCTTTAATCAGTTAACCTAACCTTACCTTATTGTTGTCTTTGCTCCTTTTTAGGTCTCAGATCATGGATAAATAATTAGAGAAGATAAATGTGCAGCTGACTCAGCGAAATTTTAGATTGAATGTCAGTTTGAATTTGCTTTTCTTTGATTGATTACTTCTTGTATGAGGTTGGCATAATTTTTAACAGTTAGAAGGGAGAGGCTCGGTGTGACCTTCGCAGTTCTATTCCGACGGCGTATCTTTGTTGCTAAGACGGAAACCATCATTACGTGGGCGAATATATTTTGGATTTATGGGGAGCTCATTCACTGAAAGCACTGAAGGAGGGAAGAATTACTGGAATATTTAAAAAATTTTCAGAACTTGGTGCTGAAATCCTAAGAGGTAAAATACGCAAGGAATAGACACATACTTTTATGGAGAAAACTGGAGAAAAATTCGTAAATTATCAGAAAAAGAGTATGTAAATGTCTAGAGACTTAATTAACCATTAGATAGAAATCGGGTAAATGCTGACAGAGAAATTATAGAACTTAAAACGTCGTTTGCAGAGTTACAAAGCGAATTGCGTCTTAGAACTTTCCATTCCATAATTTTTATTTGAAGCCATAACAACTCGACGTTTTGCTTCAAGGAAGTAATCAATCGTTGGTCAATCAAGAAAAATACGAGGGCAAGTCAAAATTATCTACACTTTTGTCATAACTTTTCTCACATTGCGCATTTTGTCTTCTGTCCTCGTATTTTATTGTTATACTGTTGTGGTAATGCTGTGAAAGTTTGATCTTAATTCCTCCATTTTTCTTCCTTCTGTTGCAGATATATCATGGCTGTTCCATTAGAAGTTTGCTCCCAAGAGGAACAACGAGCAGTGATCCAATTCCTCTTGTCGGAGAGTGTCAAAGGGTCAAACATTCATCACAGACTATCATTGCAATATGGGAGAAGTGCATTATCGCGTAATACTGTGTTTTGACAAAGCATTGACAGAACCTAACATGAGTGAGCTTGTGTTCTGCAGTAAGCTTTCTTGGTACCCACAGTGCATAGACTTTATGAAAACTGAGCTCGTCTTGGATAATTTGATCGGTAGAGCCATGACCGATGTTCAAAGCAGATGCTACCTCATCGATAGTGATTCGCCAATTCATGTCTATGCACCCTCCGACCCTTTGACACCTCTATGCCTCTATGCCCTTTGACACCCTCCGACCAGAGGAATCGGTTCACTGCTCGTTGTACCTCTTTGGTGCAAACTTCTAATGGAGCAGCCATTATATATCTGCAACAGAAGGAAGAAAAATGGAGGAATTAAGATCAAACTTTCAAAGAATTACCACAATAGTATAAAATAAAATATGCAAGGATAGAAGACAAAGCGCGCAATGTAAGAAAAGTTATGACAAAAGTGTAGATAATTTTTGACTTGCCTACTTACATTTCTAGTACCTTTGAAATAATAATTTATTTGTTGAAAAACTCAGCAGTTCGTTGGTTAAATCATACGTATAACCATATGTAAGCTATAAGATTAAGGGTTTTAAGGGAAAATTATTCATAGTTTTGTTTTGAAAAAGGGAAACCAAACATTCAGCCATGCGTCCAATTCCTTTCTCAGTGATTCTAACTCGGTAAGAACTCTCAATATTCTGCGATTCTGTGAACTTGGATACTATTGCTATTTCCAAAGAGCAGGTGATAATGTCATCAAGGGAATCTGTACTTCGCTGGGCTTTTTTTACCTTATTATACAGTTTATTTTAAAACACGTAATTTTAGCTTTAATTCTCTACCTCTGAACAACTCTGTATCCCATGCTTTATGTTTTAAAAAAGTATTTGAATTATGATGCTAATGAAATTTTATGAATCCGGATATCGTGAGAAATGCAAAGTTATAAACCCCCAATAAAAGATTTTTTCCATGATCTCTATAACTTTATAAAGTATGTTTCCCTTCCTTCCGGCTTTAATTCGCTTCTATATCCACTGGAATTTATTTACTGGAGAAAAATGCTATAAGTAAATAATATAAGAAATTAGGGTTTTCTACTTTTGAGTAAGATATTTTTAAAAATGTCAGTTTTCTTTATCTAAGATATTATTAATTTTATGCAAGTGCATTTTTTTGCAAAAACCATTTTCCAGGCTGTGTGTCTTTAATATACCGCTTCTTTCAATGCGTGTTCAGTTATTTAATCGTTTAAATACTACTACTACTACTAATAATAAATAAATAAAATAATAATAAAAATAATGTTTTGTTCATAACATAAAACGGTTACATAAAAATAGATCACAGCTCGGGGGGGGTTACATTTATTTATACAGTTTATTTTAGCAATTAGTGCAAGAAGTGATGAATTACGATTCTAAACGTAAGGGATGCAAAGGTTTCAAAAATAATAAATTAATTTTCTGTTTTGCACGTTTCGAATATTTGAGATTATACACTGTTAACTAGCGATTCCGCTTTATGTTGAGCCTTTTTCAGACAGCTGGCAGAATAATATTTTACACAATTTTTTCAAGCTTTATAAATTCTGCAATAAAGTTTTTCAAAGCTATTACATTATTAACATCGAATTATTACATTTATATTTTAAATTGACTAATTGAGTTAAAATTTCTGTTAGTGAAATTTTGTTTAGTAATTATTCGAAAAATATTATTTTCTTTATTATATTAAAATCATTAGTAATTAATCGAAGAAATGTAATTTCCTTCTTTTAGTACATTAAAATTATTAATAATCAATCGAAGAGATGTTACTTTCTTCTTTTAGTGCATTGAAATTATTTAGCTGCTTTAATGTTGTTATTAGCTGAAATGGGTAGAGCGCATATTATGTTTTCATTGTTGTTTGTTGTTGTCTGTGATCTTTACTATTCTCTAGATAATTTGGTTTTATTTTTATGGCAGTATTGAAATAACAGTAATAACAGTACGTATTGAAATAACAGTACGTATTGAAATAACAGTACGTATTGAAATAACAGTACGTATTGAAATAACAGTACGTATAATATGAAATCGTTAGAAATTTTTCCTTACCTCTTGTCTGTTGTGTTGATCAAATCGGCGACACCTTGAATAAAACTTGGGTTCATATTTATCAAAGTATCGTTTTCAAAGACTTCAGCTCTCAGTACTCCATTAAAATACTTCATCCAATTAATCTATGAGAATCATAGTAATTAATAGTAATACGCATCTTGTATAGAACATTAGAAATTTCCCAAAATCGTATATTAGAATGGAATAACACTAATAAATGTGAGTGGCGCTCACGGACTCAGTTGATCTTACAAGGTCAAAAGGTCAAACTGTTCCTTCCTGTCCTCCTTGAACGTGAAAGAGCGGCTAAATTTTTTCCTGTCTGTATGCCTTTCGCATATCGCATCAGGTGGAAATGCATACTTTAGAAATAAATTTGGTGCAATTGCTATTACGTTTTAGGCATTGTTATTAATGTTTAACGAAATATTTTTCTGAAACATTGCGTACAGTGAAGTGTTTCATTAATTTCATAATTGGATTTGTTTTGTTACGTTTACTGTTCATATTTGCACAAAATTTGTGTAATATCGTAAAATAAAACAATAAAATAGTTGATGCATCCTTCTTTTAATTTGTTTAATATTAGTTTTTATGATTTAATTTTGTTTAATCATCGTTAAATCTTTTAAATTATCCCATTAATTGAAATTCTCCAAATAAAATGCCACCACCACGCATTAAAAAGTCATTAAAGAAAAATAAATAATTATTAATGACTTTTTATGTCTTTCGATTTTTACTTGTTTCAGTGGATGATTTCAACCCCTTTGGTTTCATTACAGCTGACTGTGCTCCATCTTCCAACGATTCGTCACTCTTGAGACATTATGCGCACATGATAATTGAAAAAGGTCTTAATATTTAAACGCATGCGATTACAGCGATCAACTGAATGGCTGGTTACAAGACGAAGTAGCTTTAAAAATGTTTGGAGGATGGGAGAAGAAGGTGGGAAAGTATTTGATTAGAATATTATATACGACAAGCAGACACACCAGGCGAAGAACCTCCATGCCAGGTCCTCTTTATACGGGACCCATTCAGAGTTTGAAATATCCATTTTTTGGAAACTTTTATTTACTTAAATTTCGTGCAGATTTGTCATCTTTCAAAAAATTTTTAGCTTTCGAATTATAAGCGGAAGATTGAGAAAAATACAAAAATTTTGATAAAATTTGAGGTTTTTTACGATTCTTGTTCCGAAGCCGGCCTTTGGAGAAGTGGCAAACCTAGAATTCAGATTCAGCCCCTCCCCCGGAAAAAAAAAAAAAAAAAAAAAAAAAAAAAAAAAAAAAAAAAAACATATAGAACCGATGAGGAAAAAAAATATTTATTTTCTCCCAGGAAACACTCTTTTGAACCTTTGTTATATGACTATTTATATGGATATTTTAATATTAAGCAAACACTTCCCCTTCCTAAGCTACATTTGATTTGAAAAATGTGCTGTGCTATTTGTAATAGTTAAAAACTATTTGTGAAGATAGTCAGCATTATCATTTATGATATTAATTAAATGTTTTAAGGTATAATATCTTTACCTTTGGCACTTCCTGTGCAAGCTGATTTACAGTGTACTTGTGATACATAGCGTCCAAGTCCCTTCTTTGCTCTTCTGGCGTAGTGAGCTATAGGGGTTGAAAAGACAGTTATTTAAAAACTTCACTTGCATACTACTCTTAGAACTACATATCTTGAACAAATTACTAACTGAAATGAAATAAAATGTATTTTAAAGACAACTGAAAAAATAAATGAAGTCGTGAAGTGTTTAATATTAAGATTTCTCTAATTAATACGTGACAGCAACCCCTTTCTATATAAGACATCTGAATTTTCCTTAGAATTATTTTTTTTTAAGTATAAGTAAATGTTTCTTTTTCTTGTTCAGTCTTACATTTTTAAGACTCAACAATTTTTATACTCAAACAAGTATCTTTAATAGATAATTTACTTTATCACTTAAATTTTAGTCCATTTAATTCTTGATACCTTAATAAATATAAGTGACAAATATGAAAGTAAAATATTGATAAATATTTTTGTGGGAACGTGCGTAATCCCCTGAAATTAACAACTTTTGGCACTTTTCCATTTCGCCGGCGCAGGCGATAAATTCGCCAAAAATAATACAACCAACGCCAAACTGAACATTCCCGTTGGTAACCTTTTACTGCCACATTTTCAAAACAAGTCGCAGACATTTCTTATGAGTCATATCTTTTTTCTTAATACGTCAAAAATAGATGAAAAGCCATTGAGAATTTGGGATTTGTCCAGAATAGGGAAAGAATCTTTCAAGGGAAAGGCGTTTTGCCTAAAATTGCTACTTGAAATGAAATTGTGTTTCGGAGACGAAGTTCAGTTGCCCTATAACCTATCAACTTTCGCAGTAAAAATGTATCCGGAAAGGAAATGGTTTGAGACATCGGAATTGAGTTTCTTGAAGTGTGTGAGGTTATTTATGGTTGGAGCGAAGAATTAACTTCAGTTAAATGGTGTAAAAAGCAGCTGGAAATCATTCACGAAGCAGTTATGGACTGGAATAACCACATGAGCAAGGATTCTGTAGATTCTTTGCTTAAACGTCAACAACTTAAAATAGAAATACTACTGTTTGTGGCGTCTCCCCATTTCCTTCACGAAGAACCCTGTCGAAGATACACAAGTTCTCCCGAATACAGGGGCATGGCATAAAGCCGCGCTGAACTTCGCACAGGGCAACTACCTCGTAGGCACTTCGTCATCAAGGTCTTGAACAAACGCATTAGTGGGTTACCAGTGGAGATCGGTCCTCATTTCGTCATGTCCACAGGTGTTGCTCCATCTTTCGGGATCAAAATCGTTCGGGATAGCTCCTGCTGAGCTGGTACCTTCGGCGAAATTAACCAGATGTGGAAAATTTTGGCAACTTCTCTTGCGACGTTTTACTTCTTCCCTCCGCTTTCGGCATTTGAGGTCGGCAAAAAGAAGGCCATTAGGTCCTGGCGCAGATTTGGCTTTGCTTTGGTTTAAGACCACCGCAACCTCCTTTATGGTTATTGGGACAAGGAGCCGATGGCACGCATCAGAGAGAGTAGGTATCTCCGGTAAGTTACTGCAGATATCGTTTGGCGTTCTAGAGACTTCGCTATAGTAAGTCGCCGTGTCGAGGTCCGGAGGTCCTGAACCAGTATCACTGCTATCCAACATTCAGTGGGATAACTTAGCCGGAACTAAGTCGAACAGTCTGTGGCATTTTGCGTACCTCGAAATCCTTCGACTCTTACTTTTTGACGAGGCCACCCTTCTTCGCTTTGCCTGTCGTAGCTTCTTGGGTTTGCATTTGGGCGTCTCTGTACCCAAAGTCTGGTATGATCGTCCAAGTGGATGAAAGTATGTTTACGAAGTGCAAAAATAATGCGGGACGGATTCTACCAAAACAGTGGATGTCTGGTGCAGTTTGCCGTGAAGATTCGTGTCTTTCCTTCTGCCCAAGGTGAATATGAATTAGTTTCCTATAAAACCTCCTCCACGAAAGCAAAACTCTCCTTAGGAAGATATTCCGCGAATGCTTTGCCAGAATCTAAATTTCCTAATTCAGGTATAAATTTAAGATATGAAAAAAATAGAAACATATCTCACATTTATGGATTCCAAATATTTGATATTTTTTAATTTGTCGTTATTACTTTCTTTTGAATTAAAAAATAATTAAAAATTTAACAGAATTAAAAATGAAAGTGCTTATATTAGTTTCAAGGTTTCTTTCCATTTTCTTCGAGTAATATTTAGAATAATCATGTAATTTTAAAACATAAAAAAACTTTTTAAATCTTTATAAAATTGTCTTTTAACTTTAGAATTTGAATTAAGTTTTATATTGAGTTTAAATGCACAAAATACGTGCATATTTTAAGTGTTGCAGAGCATTTGTGGCAAGCTCTATATTAGACACTGAACATAATGAAGTTAATTCTTAATTTGTCAGCTAAGTGTAAATGCAATAAATGCTAGAGAAATTCGTTTTATAAGCATAAACTGGCGTTATCAGCTGAATGTTTTGCTTTCCAGTCACTGGACTACTGAAGTTACACTTTTCTGTTTCAGAGACTAAAATACTGTAATAAAGAAGATCATCACATATGTTAGTTACTATTTTCCCAACAGCATAATTATGTAAATTATGCGTAAATGCTTTAGAGTCTTAAATTAACGATTAAATTAGATGATAAAAAAAGCAACATGGGCGATCCTAAACACCATATAATGAAGCTGCTCCTCCTAACTGAAATAAATAGATCATCATGTATTGCGCTTCTATCTGGGCACTCCATGTGACGGCAATAAATTCACGCACTGTAGCTCAGTCCAACGTACTATATCCAACGTAATATAATAAGAGCATTTACACCAAATCTGTAGATGATCTACGGACACTCGCATTCAAGATGAAATTGAAGTTGTAGCAACTGCAGTTCTCTAATGAAAAACTGCAGCTGGTAATGGTGTCATCTTCAACCCACGAGATTAAGAAGAAAAACCCAGAAAAATTGATAAACACTCAACAAAAGAACTTCGCAAACGCCAAGGTATCATAAGCCATCCACCCCCAAAAACCGAATATACGGCTTACGACAATAGTTCGAAAACTGAGGGAAAAGTCGAATGCGAGTCAGCACTACATCAACTTCAGAATATAATTAAGCATGGTAAGGCTATCTCCGTTCAAAATAGCAGCGTATTCCCGACCGAGGTGATAGTAATCCATTCTAGCATGATATTTATCCTAAAACTCATGACAGACACTATTCACGTCATCAGGGACAGTCAGTCCTCAATGTGTGCAATAAAGAACTAACAAGTCAGCACTGCATTTGTGAAACAATCATCCAAACTAACAAAAGGGGTTTCATCATTACCTGGACCGGAGATTGCAGTAACTGCGAAAGAAATGAAGGAGCCGACGCTCTTGCCAAATAAGCAGCAATATGACGACCAAATTGAAATCCCATGGAATAAATCTGTCCTAAAACTGGAGCTAAAACCTTGCAGATGACAGATGGAACATGAAGGACGTCGAACCTTCAGCTTCCTACCAAACATGACGAAAATATAGGGAGCAATTCTCATTAACTTTTCCAGTACATCTCCGGACACGGCCTATTCCCGATCTACTTCCATAAAAGAAATACACCACCTCCAAAGTGTAAGTAGGGAAAGGTGCAACTGAATTACTACATGTTCCAGTATGCTCAAACAGAGAACAACCCCATTAAGCATCCCACAAACCCTGGGACTGAATTCAAGAGATTCTTGATTAAACACGGCAAAATCGCATTAAAGCCAACATGGAAGTACTCCAAGCGTTATATCAGTATCTCGAGCTGTGCAATCCTCGAAATCTCACCCCTTGATACTTCTGTAACCAACGTCATCTCTTAATGTGCCACTGTTAATCTGCACTTCCAAATCATATTTCATAAATACTGTAAAACTCCATGTAGATTTTAGTAGTCCATATGTCAAAGTATAAACCAATACTGAACCCTTGATGCAATATCAATTTAAATATCAAATCATTATAAAAATTTCACTTGAGATCATAAATATCTAACTACGTAATTTACACTAGGCTTTGTTTTTAATTGCTGCTCATTAATTCCTTAACTACTCTTGGAACTTATAAAATGATATTTTCCCGTTTATTCTATATTATCCTTAACATTCACACTTCCTTTTCAGAACTGCTTGCCAGTAGCTTAGCATAAAGTTGATGAAAACGTATTAGTTCGATCCGGGTTTTCTAATCCTGTTGATGAGGTCTCATGAAGTACATATTTCATGATTTTAACAACTTGCAGCTTAGTTTCAAAACCTCGCGTTAGATATCTTTCGTTGCTACGCTATATATTCAATTTAATAAACATTATAATAATTCATTGGAGTATGCCTTTGTTGTATGTTATACTAGTAGCTACGTGGCCGGGTTTTGAATACACCGGAAACCTGCCAAAAGGAAGAACCAAACGTTAAATTTAAAAACTGCGCAGAATTTTACTCAGCAGAAAAACTTCATAAAAAAAGCAATATCCCTTAATACAAATATTAATTATTCCAATAAATAAATTAACCAACTTCCCGTTGCCTTCTCTCAACAAACGTCCAGTATTCAAGAGAAACATTAAATTAAAAAACTGCACAGAATTATCGCTCTAATTTTTTTAAGTGGCAACAGTTATGATTTTCAACAGTCCAAGTATACAACTGAATTCTCAGTATACAATTGAATGAAAAACTATTGCCCAAACCACATTTCTAAAAGAATAAAACTATTCAAAATGATGCGATAAATTCGAAAAGTTAAAATAAAGAAAAATGTGATTTGAATTTTGAAAAAATCGCTTCGAGATGCACTGGCTCTCTTCTAGATGCACCTATATACCAAATTTCTTAGCCCTGGATCTATTAGCATACGACCAGTGCGAACGAAAATCACACAGACTCTTTCTTTTATTATATATAGAGATTAAATATATCCTATTAATATCCAGCTTCATATATGTAGAATATTATATTTGTCTAGAAATGCTGATAATTTTAATAAAATTTGTATGCATTATTACCGCTGGATGTAAAATAGGCCAAATTTATAACTTTCAACTAACCTTTGATAGCTAATTGGTAAACGAAACAAAGAAAGCTTTTTATATGGTTTAGAATTCAAATTGTAAAAAATCTGATGTGTACACCACATGACTTCCTTGTACGGAATATTAAATTATACGCATTTTTTCTTGCATTTTATTTAAACTTATTAGATTGAATTAAACCTACTTCACTGAAAGCGCATAAAATAAACACAATAGAATAAATGCCATTCTTTAAAATTCACTTTGTTTACCATAGCGACACTCTGGCGCTAGGTTTACTTAACAGTATTATATTTCGTTCACATTATAACTCAGAATGCACAAAATCTATATCATTTAAAGAATTATCTAATCGTTCCCACATGTTCTATTCAAATACTATAATAAAGATAGAACTATGTATAAAAGAAATTAAGCAAACAAAACAAAACAGAAACAGTTTTTCAAAGACAATTGAGTATTTCTCATTCAATTAATTCAGTTCTCACTTCGCCAGAAGGCAAAAATACATAAAAACTCAAAATATCTATATTAAAAATTACGAAGTAAATCTCAAACGCTTATTTCCTCGAAAAATTTCAGAAAGAATTAAGCATGATTTAATTGGGAATAATAAATGAAGGCGTTATCTTTGTTGTCGCGAAGCTAAGTTTTCTCTAGATTGGCAACAAATCCACTAGTTCTCCTGTTTCAAATGTAAACATCAATGGCCGCCATTAAAAATAGGCTTAGCGGCAATTAAACAACTTTAAAATTGCTGATAATTCCTAAAAATATTGCACACAGATTTACTAAAGGCATAAAATCCTTAACCGGAAGATAAAACAACATAATTCAATCATTTTTAAAGCAAAAAATGTACAATTTACAAACATATAAGAGTAAAGAAACTGAGATCGCTAAGCCGGGTAACACAGTGGATATATATATAAATATATTTATATATGTTTGGTGCGGCCGATTGCAACCAAAATACGAGGTGCACATCTACATGTTATAGCAATCCTATATACAAAATTTCAACGTTCTGAGGCTACTTGTTTTTGAATTATGCGAGATACGTACATACGCACGAACGTACGTACGTATCTACGTACATACGTTCGTACAGACGCCACGAAAAATTCTCTTCAGAATTAATTTTAAAGCAGTTTTATAATTTTTTTGAAGGAAAAGAGTATTTTATTCTCTCCTTACGTACAGATATGACGCAAAAACATCGTTAAATTGCATTCGAAAGCGGTCAAAATGGATATTTTCGTTGAAATATGCTGCCTGAAACTTTTCGCGATTAGAATACTTCCTTTTTACTTCGTACAAGGAAGTAAAAACAGCTATTAACATGAATGTTAACTATTCCTAGAATAATTGTTTGCGAACATTCATATAAGCCGGAACTAGTCGTTCCTATCGAATAATAAACATAAAATGAAGTCTTCTCATAATATGTAAGGGAAAAGGGAAAATTACTGTTAAAATATACAAAAGTAAGAAGAAGAAAATTTTTATATATACATTCGCGAGCAGAGCTATGAAATGGAGCACTTCTCTGAGTTCGGCCTTGGAAGTATCTTTATTTGCACCCAATTTATTTGCTGCTTTCACCATTAGTTTGAAATAAGCCTCTGTGACGGAACTATTTAATCCACTGAGAAAATCGTTGCGGGATAACGCCAATCTTGGTTGGTCCAGCTAGAAAAAGAATTAAAAACGTAAATAAGTTAAATAAACAGCATTATATTGACGTAAATGATGAAATAAAACCAAAAATTACAACTTTTACTGTTTCCTTGTTTTCTTAGTTTTATGTCTGACACGAGATGTTTCTATTCTGCGCAGGAAGTGTTTCAATAATGGGAACGAAAAATATTGCATTTAAATTTCATGAAGAATATTCAAATGATCAGTTGTTTATTATTTTAAAAAGATTAAAATGTTCACTTTATTTCTTTGGTTAAGTGAAAATTTCAATCGCTGGTTTTCCAAAGAAAGATTTCTCACGATTTCTTGCACATTACCTGGAAAATTAAAGAACAGTCGCAAAAATGAACCGTCATGATCTTTGTTGTTTTCTATGTGAAAGCGTATACTTTGCTGCTTGAAATCATTTTATGTTATGATTTTTGAAATTCAATTATGCATTTGTGCAATCTTGAAATTAACCTAGTTTATGAATGCAAGAATAAATGAGAAAAACATAAACAAACAAATTAAATATCTACTCAATACAAAGTCATAAGAACACAATATTCTGTAAATCGTGAGGCTTTCTCTTTGTTCAAATTTAAAAAAAAGTTCACATTGTTATGAGAATTCTATGATAATATTACAGAAGCAAACTTCACAGCTCCTCTTGTACTTGCAGCGAGGAAAATGGCTTAGGAAAAATATGTTTAAGCCTTAGTACCTAATGTTTCACATAATGCATCTGAGATGTGGACAATCACTTCATTCTGTGAATATTCTCATTCTCCAGTTACTAAGATCAATACTGATAGCGCACGTAGTTCATTGTCATCATTTAAAATATCCGATTACTTTCCAATAATTAATTTTTATGGAACTTTTTAAAAAAATATTTATTAATTTATTTTATAGTGTATACATTAAGTTCCCCCCAAACCACATTTATTTCACCTCTCCGGTCGATAGAAGCAGAATTACGGATGTTCTTGTTCTACGCTGCGAAAGGAATTTTCTGTTTAAGAATCCTAAAGCTGATATCTCAAGGTACACATATTGCTCTAAATAATTTTAAAATGAGAATTTTTCATTTAAAAACATTTTTTAATGCTCATAAAATGCTTTTTAACCTTTTTATCTGATATTAAGTGCTCATGAAAAAAAGATTAGTTTTGCAATTTAATTTTCATACTTGGGAACATTTTCTTTTACTCCTGTTTGTGTCTGCATTACATAAAATCCATTTTTTGCAAAACTTGATTTTTTCTACTTTTTTGTAACTAAAAAAATTAACTTCAAATATTGCTTTATTAATTTTATGAACCTTTCCAGAAATAAGCTTCACCAAACTACTTTTATTTTAACTCTCCCGGTCGTTAGAGACAGAATTATGGCTATTCTTCTTCTGCGCTGTGAACCAAAAGTTTCTATTTAAGAAACCGGAAGCTGCTATTTAAAGGTACACAGACTAATCTAAATGATTTTAAAATGAGAATGTTTCATTTGAAAACGTTTGTTAATGTTCAAGAGATGATTTTGAACCTCTCAATGTTAAATAGTGCTCTAGCAAAAGATTAGCTTTGCAATTTAATTTTCATACGTGGCGATATTTTCTTTTATTCTTGTTTGTGTTTGCATTATATTAAGTCTATGTTTTTTGGAAAAATTGATTTTTTTCAACTATTTTGTCACGAAAAAAATTTAACTTAAAATATTACTACAGTAATTTTACGAAACATTCCACGGATATTCTGTGAAATATTGTGAATTAAATGGAATAAAAGATTAGGTTTTTGTACATATCTAAAATTTTTTTTGCAGATAATTTTGGAAACAAACAAACAAAAAAAAAAAAAAAAAAAAAAAAAAAAAAAAAAGAGAAATTTCTCGAAAAATAGCTAGTGCTTATACTCAAACAAGTATCATTAATAGATAATTTACTTTGTCACTTAAATTTTAGTCCATTTAATTCTTGATACCTTAATAAATATAAGTGACAAATATGAAAGTAAAATATTGATAAATATTTTTGTGGGAACGTGCGTAATCCCCTGAAATTAACAACTTTTGGCACTTTTCCATTTCGCCGGCGCAGGCGATAAATTCGCCAAAAATAATACAACCAACGCCAAACTGAACATTCCCGTTGGTAACCTTTTACTGCCACATTTTCAAAACAAGTCGCGGCCATTTCTTATGAGTCACATCTTTTTCTTAATACGTCAAAAATGGATGAAAAGCCATTGAGAATTTGGGATTTGTCCAGAATAGAGAAAGAATCTTTCAAGTTAAAGGCGTTTTGCCTAAAATTGCTACTTGAAGTGAAATTGTGTTTCGGAGACGAAGTTCAGTTGCCCTGCAATCTATCAACTTTCGCAGTGAAAAAAGTATCCGGAAAGGAATTGGTTTGAGTCATCGGAATTAAGTTTCTTGAAGTGTGTGAGGTTATTTATGGTTGGAGCGAAGAATTAACTTCAGTTAAATGGTGTGAAAAGCAGCTGTAAATCATTCACGAAGAAGTTATGGACTGGAATAACCACATGAGCAAGGATTGTGTAGATTCTTTGCTTAAACGTCAACAACTTAAAATAGAAAGACTACTGTTTGTGGCGTCTCCACATTTTTTCACGAAGAACCCTGTCGAAGAGAAACAAGCTCTCCCGAATACAGGGGCACGGCATAAAACCGCGCTGAAGTTCGCACAGGGCAACTGTACCTCGTAGCCACTTCGTCATCAAGGCCTTGAACAAACGCATTAGTGGGTTACCAGTGGAGATCGGTCCTCATTTCGTCATGTCCACAGGTGTTGCTCCATCTTTCGGGATCAGAATCGTTCGGGATAGCTCCTGCTTAGCTGGTACCTTCCGCGAAATTAACCAGATGTGGAAAATTTTGGCAACTTCTCTTGCGACGTTTTGCTTCTTCCCTCCCCTTTCGGCATTTGAGGTCGGCAAAAAGAAGGCCATTAGGTCCTGGCGCAGATTTGGCTTTGCTTTGGTTTAAGACCACCGCAACCTCCTTTATGGTTATTGGGACAAGGAGCCGATGGCACGCATCAGAGAGAGTAGGTATCTCCGGTAAGTTACTGCAGATATCGTTTGGCGTTCTAGAGACTTCGCTATAGTAAGTCTCCGCCGTGTCGAGGTCCGGAGGTCCTGAACCAGTATCACTGCTATCCAACATTCAGTGGGATAACTTAGCCGGAACTAAGTCGAACAGTCTGTGGCATTTTGCGTACCTCGAAATCCTTCGACTCTTACTTTTTGACGAGGCCACCCTTCTTCGCTTTGCCTGTCGTAGCTTCTTGGGTTTGCATTTGGGCGTCTCTGTACCCAAAGTCTGGTATGATCGTCCAAGTGGATGAAAGTATGTTTACGAAGTGCAAAAATAATGCGGGACGGATTCTACCAAAACAGTGGATGTCTGGTGCAGTTTGCCGTGAAGCAATTGAATGTTTGAACGAAAGGAACGTTTGGAACATTTCAGAGTGAACCATAAATACAATTTTGTGGAGAAGGGAACAAAAGAGCCATTTGAAAAAAATTGAAACGGTATTAAAACATTTGTGCCTCCAAAGTAAAATATTCTTATAACTAACATTTGATAACATTTTTTTCACAAGTATACTGTGTGTTGTCGTCAATAAGTCTGCTTAGCGAGATTTACAGCATTATTAATATTTTTTTTTATGTGTATACTTTTTCATGTGTGTGTTATGTGCTTTTCATGTTTATGTGTTTTTATGTATTGTTACCAAAAAAGTCAGCATTGCGAGATTAGCGCCGGCGAAATGGGAAAGTACCCAGATTTTTAATCCAAAATGTAAGAAAAAACAAAAAGTTATACTTTTATAATGTTTATCACCTGATTTTAACATTTTAAGTAGTATTCTGCTAAATAACGCCAATAATATATTTATTTGTAATATTTTCCAAAACTGAGGTGTCCGACGTACTCAGATACTGTAATATTCAGTAACTGCCGACATCTACCGAAACATTTTTCATATATAGATTTAAGATCTCAACTCCATTCTTCCGAAGTATATAGTAATTATCATATAAATCTTTATATAATCATTTCACACTATTTCACTTTAAACTACGGTACTTCTACCTTTACTACGACATAATTAACAGACAGAGTTTTGTTAAATTAGGCATATTTACCTCAATGATATGAGCTGTGTTGTTCTTATAGTCCTGCGTAACATCAAAGCTCATTAATACATCGAAATCGTAGCCTCTTTTGCGGAATTCTATGACAGTATCCAGCCAGTCGAAGGAATCTTCTCTCCACTTTTCTCCTTCTACTACCGGCCAACCTCCGAGATTCTGTAAAACATCCTCCAGAGGCGTACTACCCACTTCATCGATGCTAGCTGCAGGAGGAAAAGTTAAACGAGCTAACACAGCACAATGATAACCAGAAAGTTTAAACGAGACCATTAACATGAATCTGTTTTTATGCTTAAAACTGAAAACTAGACTATTAACTGTGTGACAAAAATATGTGGCATTAGTTTTGTTAATCAAAATAATCCTTCGAATATTAATAAATTTAATAATTGAAGTCAATTTTAATAAAAATTATCAATCTAATAAATTGAAGCTAAGTGTTTATAATTACATCGTTTAGGTATATTATATCTTTTAGGTATAAAAATAAAATTAAAGAATTCGTTAAAAATTTACAAAGTATGTAATAGAAAATATATAAAATCTGAAAGGTTTCAGATTTTAATTATGTCCAAAGGGGCGTTTTTTAACATTTTGTGTGTTACCTTTCTTTATTAAATATCATGTTCCTCGCACTTAAACCATAAGATCCAGTGCAACAGCAATATCGCAAAATAGTTTTAAAACGAGCATATCTTTAGAATTTACGATACAGAGACTCACGCGCTGGAGATAAAAATGTTTTTTCTGCACAACGTTGCCATTGCTCGCTTTGAAATCCTTGAGTTTGTTAATCAAAAATTCGTCAAAGTTTTAAAAAATAGGAAATCGATCATAAAACAAATTTCAAATTTCAAATTTGGTCTTCCACATGCTCATATTCGTTGGAGGATTACGTTATTCAAAATTCGATGACTCTATGTACCGTTGTTTTATCACAATACGAGAAATATACATACATTTATGCAGATTTTTCATTATTTAATTTCTTCAAATATAATGCAGGACTGTAACATTTTGTAGCAACAGTTTGAAAAGTGATCCGACATTTATAGGAGACCGACGCAAAATGCCAAAACGAAAGGATGGCAATTCATTCGGATTCAGGAGCAGCATAAGTTTACATACTGTTTTGAATTAAGAATAAGAAGCACACCGGTGCTCATTAAGCCTGCAGGTATCTTAGGTATTTTATGGTCAGCAGCTGTTAGCAGATAGTTTGTGAGTATGGAGCGAAGGTGTAAATTTAAATAAATTTTAAAATCAGATTATCTACAAGCACAACATTACCTGCCAAAGTTATGTGACACTGAGTTCTACAAGTTAATTGTCAGTTGCCGTCGAGTTCGCTTGTGCAATCAATAAAGATACGTTTTTTAAAAATAAAATAAAATCAATACAATGCTGAGACTTAAATGGGGGGGGCGATGTTAAATTAAGTTCAACTCAGATGTTACCAATATGGGGCAGAAGGTACGTGTATACATATACATATATATGGTAAATTAATTGAATACTTATCAAATTAACGGTTAGTTTATAAAATCGCCAACTCCTGATGGGGAATGTAATAAAAGTCCATTAACTTTGTGAGGATTATGTTCATTTCTTTAACAGTTAAGTTTCGAGTTAAAGTTCCTTTCCGATCTTCCTGAATTTCAACTTACAACTTCCGGCCAGAACGTAGTTTTATAAACGCGTTTGAATGCAAATTGAGGAGAAGTATTTAACCGCGAAGTTCTACTGTCTTAGTTAGAGACAACCAGTGATTCTGGCTAGTACGCGTCCGCCTTATTAGGCTACTCTCTCTTAAACTACTATTACGCTCGGCCGTACTCTAGGCCCTTGATATCTTCGCCGTTATTCAGCTTTAAAGGACCAACTCGGTTAGAACCTTGGTAGCTTCTGCTATATCCCTTTAGTTAAGATTAGTTAAGTTTAGTTCTTAGTTTTCTAAGTTCAAGGCCGAGTGGGGCGGCTTTATTGTAAAACTCCAAGGCGGAGTTCTGTTAAACTTTATTCGAATAATAAAGGGTAATTTCACCCTTCTTACGTGTTGTCTCTATATTACGAACTCAAGCAATTAGTCCCTTACCAGTTCTTAAGATTCTTCAAATTCAACTGTTACTTAAAAGTACACAGTACAGAATCTTACAACTTTACCAAAATTCGTTCAGTTTACACAGCTGCAAGACTTCTGTCACAACGTATGCCCCTCCTAAACAACGTGCGTTCGCAGATTGTTCGTTATTGGCGGCTTTTTGTCGATATCCGGATTCACTAATCTGCGCATGGATTGACGGTATCCGTAAGATTGTGATATTTTCGTGAAAATACATCTTTTTCTATACAGTGGACAACATAAATATTGTAATAAATTTGTCAGAATGAAAGAGAGATTGAAAGATTTTATGTCATCGGACTCAAGAAATAAATCTATTTTTTCTATAAAAATCAAACAGTAATGAAAGCATAACTGACAGTAATGTTTCGTGGCATTTATGTCTAAATTAAATAACGGAGAATGTCTTCTAGAATGCAACTAAGCTCCAAGCGAAGGAAATAATTAACGTTTCAAAATTCTGATTTAGTTTACAGCTTTCTGTAAATTATTCGTAGTGACACAGTTCAACCTTACTTTAGAGTAAAATCGTTTGCGCCAATATATGTATTCACAGATACATAAAGGAAACTGCTTTCTCGTTCTTAAACGTTTAAAGCATTGTGGCAAGGTCGCATAGATGTTCTTTGTCTGCTTTCGTCCAGGAAGACCGGCGGTGTAATGGTGCCTCATTCACAACAGATAAGAAATTCTGGTCCAACGAAGTCCCTTTATGAATTATTCTGGTTTCACCCTCGAAAGTCACTCCAACGCTTTCAGGGATAAAGAAGTCTTTCTCTGGGGTTGAAATGTTGACATCTTTGTTATGTACCAGCATAGAATTCTCCTCCGGGTTCAGCGGAGGTAACGACGCCGTGCCAGGAGTAAACTTTGGCAGCGAGAAAGTAAGGTGGTTTGTTGAAAGCCCCTAGAACCTTCCTGCTGGGGCTAAGGGCATTTTTGCCCCCTAGAACTATGACTCCTCATGTATGCTCTCGATAGCGCACATTCCTGTTTAATAAATTTCTGAAATTACGGGTCTGTATGTATCGCAGTCCCACATCAACATGAATCGCACCTGTTAAAGTTTTTTTATTAAAATTTATGCTATTGTTAGAGTTAGAAGTTTATTTCAAGTCTGGATTGCAAAAGGAGCTGTGGGTAGCGCATTTGGCCACTACACCATAGCAATTAATTAGCTGTGTTAGTGAGTGAGTGAGTGAGTAAGTGATTATGGCGCAAAAACCAGAGATGATTATGACGCGCCAAACAAAAGATGAGATGATTACAATTGATGACATTAAAATTCAATAAATAAAAACAAGTAGATAAATGTACCAAATCCAGAGGATGAAGTCATATAAACACAAGTTAAAAGCACATATTAAAATTCAAGACACAGTCTTCAAAACAAATTACATTTGGTAATAAAAGCCAATCTCTTTTAAATAATAAAATAAATTAGAATTGACCTCTCTTCCGATTAAACGGTCGAGATGTAAGTCACAGCTATTAAAATATTTCTGGCGAAGACTATTAAAACATGGACACTCAATTAAAATATGACGAACAGATAAACAAACATTACAATTAAAACAAACAGGCTCATTTTCAGCTTTGAGAAAATAGTAATGTGTGACTCTAGTGTGACCAATTCTGAGGCGAGTCAAAAGAACGTTCCTCCTTACGATTTCCAGCAAAATCCCAATGCTCAATTCTAGGCTTTGACGTTTCTCAACTTGTTGTGATGCTGAACATCCCAAATTGCTGCCATTTTTTTCGGATCTTTCCCTTGATGACACAGCAGATGTCTCTAAAAGGGATAAGGCGACTGGACAGTTCAACAGCAGATTTGGCTGCGATATCTGCAAGCTCATTTCCCTTTATTCCAGCATGTCCCGGAAACCCAGCAGTACAGGACTTCATAACCTCGAATCGTTAAATTTATATGAATTTTGAGAACATCCACTACCACAGGATTCTGAGTGTTGGGAAAAGCTTCCAAGGATTTAAGAGCACTATACGAGTCTGTGTAAAACTATGAACTTTTTGTGGCAGAGCTTTGAGATGTACAAAAGACCATAATATATTGCAGTTAGTTCAGATGTTAGGACAGAGAAAGCATGGTGCAGGCATCTGCCCTCTATGTAATTTTCAAATACAAAAGCCATCCCGACATGATCATTTGACTTTGATCCATCTGTGTATATCGGATAATAACTGCTATATTTGTGCCTGTGCTCAGCGAAAGAGTTGTCTGTAAACGATCTCGTAGTGCTTGCCGCCTTCACGTGATGTTTGAAAACATCAAGAAGCTGAATCCGTGAATTTTCCCACGACGGTATTTCAAAGTTCTGCACTGCTTGGGGGTGCATATCAGAGAGGGAAAGTTCCTCAATGACAGGGCGAACTCTTAAAGGAAAAGTAGGAACACAGGATGGACGTGTTTCAAATAATGTGTTACACTCATTATCAAGTAAGCACAGCTTATTGGGATGTTCAGGTTGGGATAAAATATTAAAATATTGCAAAAGGGACAATTGCTCACGCCTCAGATAAAGTGATGGTTCGTTACAGTCAACATATAGGCTCTGTACAGGAGAAGTCCTGAAAGCTCCTGAACAAATCCGCAAACCTTGATGGTGAACAGGATCCAGTTTTAACAAAACAGATGAGCGAGCGGATCCATAAACAACTGAGCCATAGTCCAGTCTAGAGCGGATAAGCGCTCTGTAAATGCGAAGCATGGAGCAACGCTCTGCACCCCAGGAGGTGTTCGCCAACACTTTTAAAATATTTAGTGTTTTTAGACACTTCTTTCTCAGGTTTAAAACATGAGAAAGAAAGGAAAGTCAATTTCGGTCGAACGTCACTCCTAAAAATTTTACTTCGGGCGCAACTGGAATAATTGTACCATTTAGATACTATAACTCAGGTTCAGGATGGAGACCTCGCTTCCTACAAAAGTGCACGCACACAGTTTTCTGTTTCGAAAAAGTAAATCCCTGTTTGTCTGACCATTCTTGGATCTTATTCAGAGCCATCTGCAATTGCCTCTCTATGTATCTCATGTCTGCTCCTCGACAGCTAATCTGTAAATCATCTACATATAGTGATCCCAAGATGGTGGGAGGAAGTTCTTTTAATACAGAATTTATTTTTAAACTGA